CATCATTCATTAGAATTATCAAGTCATCATCCTTATATGAATTGAAATGATCGGATCATGGCGGGCAAAAGTCATGAACGACAAGATTCCTTCCATGTATCACATAATCAAACCAACTCAACATAACTTTAATCAATCTTTTAACTTTCATGTCTTTAAAATAGTTATAACATGTTACCACAATCAATAATATTTGTATATAACTTAATGTGGATAACAATAGAATAAAGAGAAACATAACTTTAATTGAATTCACAAGTGTCATGACAGTACAAGCATATAAATATACATATCTATATAGATATATAACATCATCATGTTAATATTGACTTATCCATACTGCCCATACTTTCAACATGGCCAATAAAAGTTTTGGGCGGTAGTCCTTTAGTTAACGGATCTGCTATCATCAAATCCGTACCAATATGCTCAGTTAACACTCTACGTTTCTACACTTCTTCTTTGACCGGTAAGTATTTCAAATCCATGTGATTAACACCTTTTGAGTACTTCATTTTTAGAGAAGAAGACGACTGCGGAATTATCACAATAAATCTTTATCGGCCTAGCAATACTGTCAATCATGCCAAGCCTCGATACAAAGTTCCGCAACCACAAAGCATGAACCGTGGCCTCAAAGCATGCCACAAATTCAGCCTCCATGGTGGAAGTATCAATGACTTATTGTTTTTCACTTTTCCAAGAAATTGCTCCTTCAGCTAATAGATAAACATACCCAAATGTGGATTTTCTTGAATCCACACATCCAGCATAGTCTGAATCCGAGTAGCCAATCACTTCGAGATGATTTGACTTTCTATAGGTGAGCATGTATTTTTTGGTACCTTGTAAGTACCTAAGAACTTTCTTTGCAGCTTTCCAGTTATCCATTCCGGGATTATTTTGATATCGGCCTAACATTCCAACAGCAAAACTGATATCTGGCCGAGTACAAGTTTCAGCATACATCAAACTCCCAACCACTGATGCATAAGGAATAAACTCCATGGCCTTTTGTTCCAAATCATTCTTGGGACATTGCATTTGACTAAAGTTATCCCCTTTTTGAATTGGAACTACTCTAGGAGAGCATTTTTCCATTCTAAATCTCTCTAACACTTTGTTAATATATCCTTTTTGAGACAAACTTAACAATCCTTGTGATCTATCATGAAATATTTCTATTCCTATCACATAAGATGCCTCATTCATATCTTTCATTTCAAATTTGCTAGAGAGAAACTTCTTTACATCATGTAACATACCAATATCATTAGCAACAAGAAGAATGTCGTCAACATATAGAACCAATATAACAAACTTACTCCCATTGATCTTTATATATATACACCGGTCAACGGTGTTCTCTACAAAACCATATGAAGTTATGGTATCATTAAATTTTAGATACCATTGTCGGGAAGCTTGTTTCAGTCCATATATTGATTTCTTCAATTTACACACTAAATTTTCTTTTCCTGTTATGGTGAAACCTTCTGGTTGATCCATGTAAACTTCCTCTTCTAAGTCACCATTCAGAAAAGCGGTCTTTACATCCATTTGGTGAAGCTCTAAATCATAATGAGCCACCAAAGCCAAAACAATTTTCAAAGAGTCCTTCTTAGAAACAGGAGAGAAGGTCTCTTTGTAGTCAAAGCCATCCTTTTAAGTGAAACCTTTGGCGACTAATCTAGCTTAATACCTTTCAATATTGCTTTTTGACTCATGTTTAGTCTTAAAGACCCATTTACAACCAACTCTTTTTGAACCCTTAGGCAATTCAACTAGATCCCATACTTTATTGGCATCCATTGATTTCAATTCTTCTTTCATAGCATTCAACCAATTCTCTGAATTATTACTTTCCATGGCTTGTGTGAAAGAGACTGGATCCTCATCAATGCTTAAGTCACATTCATGTTAACCACAGTAAACCACATAATCATTCAAAATAGCAGGTCTTTTCTCCCTTATAGACCTTCTTAATGTTGCTTCTTGTGGTTCCTCTATCAATTGCTCATTTATGACTTGCTTATTTGTGACTTGCTCATTGTCAATTGGCTCAACATTTATATGTTCATTTTGTGGGATTGGAACATTAACTTGTTGTCTCTACTTGTTGTGTGACTGTGATACAACAAGAGGGATAACAACTTCAGAAGAAACATTAGATGTAGAAACACTATCAGTATGCTCTTGAATGTCCACTATTTGTGATTCCTCACTCCCACTAAATTGACCATTTTCAATGAATCGAGCATTTCCAGACTCAACTATTATTGTACTATGGTTAGGGCAATAAAATCTATATCCCTTTGATTTTTCAGGATAACTGATTAAGTAACCATTAATGGTTCTTGCATCAAGCTTCTTTTCATGTGGATTATACAACCTTACCTCTGTCGGACAACCTCAAACATGAAGATGTCTCAAATTGGGTTTCCTTCCAGTCCATAGTTCATAAGGAGTTTTAGAAACTGCTTTGCTTGGAACCTTGTTAACCAGATATACAACAGTCCTTAATGAATACATCCACAAAGATAAAGGAATATTACTATGACTTAACATACTCCTAACCATATCCATAAGAGTACGATTCCGCCTTTCTGCTACACCATTTTGTTGTGGTATACCGGACATTGTATACTGTGCTCATATACCCCGAATTTCAAGAAACTTTGCAAATGGACCTGGACATTGTCCACTCTCATCAGTTTTACCACAATATTCACCACCTCTATCAGATCTCACCCCTTTTACTTTTATATCTAATTGCCTTTCCACCTCATTTATGAACACCTCAAGGGCATTCACTGATTGAGATTTTTCATGTAATAGATATATATAACAATAACGTGAGAAATCATCAATAAAGGAGATAAAATATTTTTCACCACTCTAGGATTTAATGTCAAAAGGACTACAAATAGCAGTGTGTATTAACTCAAGAAGTTGACTGCTTCTTGTGGCAGGATATTTTGATATGTGTTTTATTTGTTTACCCTTAATACAATCAATACATACATCCGAGTCATCAAAATCCAATTGAGGTAAAATTTCATTTTTCACTAACCTCAACATCGTTTCTTTGGATATGTGACCCAATCTTTTTTTCCATAAGAAAGCAGAACATTCTTTTCCTGCACCACAATTTCTATCAACAATATGTTCAACATTAAATAGGGATTCAGAAAAATTAACATCAAGATTTAAACGATATAAACCATCCAATAATGTCCTAGAACCTTAATAGTACAAAAGTTTATACAAATGAAAAATACCATTTTCAATCTTAAAGTTAAAACCTAAATAATCCAACTTTGCAACAGAAATTAAATTCCTAGCACAACCAGGAACATAGAGACACTTTTCAAGATTCAGACAATAACTAGTGTCTAGAATTAATTTGTAAGTCCTAATTCCTTCTATTTGTACCTTCATTCTCTTCCCCATATATAAACACTTTTCAGTTCCTTTTATGGGCTGGATTGAAAGGAATCCCTGCATAATATTAGAAACATGAGTGGTAGCTCCAGAATCCAACCACCAGGCATTATTAGGCACTTCAATTATATTTGCTTCAAAACTTACAGAAACATAAAAAGTACCTTTCTTTTCAAACCAAGATTTTCTTTTCGAACAATCTTTCTTGAAGTGACCTACTTTCTTGCAAAAGAAAGATTTCTGGTCCTTCTGGATATTGCCCTTATGCATTTTCATTGGGGCTTTGTCCTTCTTGTTCTTCTTTCCTGATTTGGCTTTACTGAAGTTGGCACCTTCATGAGTTGTGAGATGGATAGAATGATCTTTCATTTTGTTCAATCTCCTTTCCTCTTGTATCAACATGGCTTTGATTTCTTGAAAGTTCCATTTATCCTTAAGAGTGTTATAGTTCACTTGGAATTGGCCAAATTCAGGAGGAAAAGAGTTTATGATAAACTGTACTAGAAAAGACTCATTCACCTCCATTCCCATTGACTTCAATCTTGCTGCTATATTTGCCATTCCAGTTACATGTTCATGTATGGGTTGTGACCAGTCAAACTTTTTGGTAGTCAGCTCACTGATAAGAGTTCCTACAATAGACTTGTCAGTTATGTCTGATTGTGAGTACTCCTTGATCAGTTTCATGAATTCCTTTGCGTTTTCTATTTTAGGCATAAAAGGCTTTACATTCTCTGCCATAGACATGCGTATTAAGTTTAGTGACTGCCTGTTAGACCTATGACAAGCCTCATAAAGAGACTTCTCATCACTTGTACTAGTCTCTGTAATGGCTGCGGACATTTCATCCATCATAATTGTCATGTCCAAGTCTAACACACCCAGTTGGAACTAGATTTGTTCTGACCAATCAGCATAATTGAGCCCATTAAACTTGACCACATTGTTGCTCAAACCTGATAAATTCATGTAAGCTGGAAATAATACACAAGCTCATACATTAATGCTTTGCTAAAATTAATGGATTCAAACAAATTACTACACTAGTCATACATTCAAGTTCACCTTTGGGTGACACTTAAACTGATAGGTAATCATTTAAGTCATTCATTTAAGTTCACCTTTGGGTGATTCATTTAAGTCTATATGTATGCTATCTTTGGATATACAAACATATTTACTAAGTACATGAAATATCACACTTTAATATCATCAATTATAAACAATGGTTCACCTTTGGGTAATCCATAACATCTTTATATCAATGACTAATTACTATATATATATATATATATATATATATGGGTTAAATATGTTTTTAGTCCCTAAACTATTGGCCATTTCTGGTTTTCGTCCCTCTTCCAAAGTAAGGTACACTTTAGTCCTCATACTTTTCGAAACTTTGGTTTTAGTCCTCCAAAACTAACACCGTGAAAAATATGCTGACGTGGCTAACGGGACTGACACAGTTTTTTTTTTTTTCAGAGTTTATCAGCTTTTCTTCCTTTCTCTCTCCCTCGTCTCTTCCTTCAATTTCAAAACACAAAAAAGGAAAGCAGCAATGTTGTTTGTTGGGCTGTATCTGGTGGCTTTGGGGGTTGGAGGGATCAAAGGGTCACTGCCAGCACATGGTGGTGAGCAATTTGATGAAACCACCCCGTCTGGTCGGAAGCAGAGATCAACTTTCTTCAACTACTTTGTCTTCTGCCTGTCATGCGGTGCCCTCATTGCAGTTACTTTTGTTGTGTGGATTGAAGACAACAAAGGCTGGCAATGGGGTTTTGCAATTTCTACCATTAGCATTTTTGTATCTATCCCAGTTTTTCTTTCTGGTTCCCCTACTTACAAGAACAAGATCCCTTCTGGAAGTCCACTCACAACCATTTTAAAGGTAAGCGTCAATCTCTAATCATTTTAATTTCTTTACAATACCAATGAAAAAGTTTGTACACTGTTAACTGATAAGAAATTATGGTAATTTCTTGTTTTAATTTGAGCAGGTTCTTTTTGCTGCTGTACTGAATAGCTGCACATACAAAAACTCTAGCAGTGCTGTTGTTAACATGGCTTCTAGCCCTTCTAATCCACACTCGGGAAGAATGGAATCAGAACAAGAAACTGTAAAGGCAAACACAACAAATAAAACCCCAACAGTTTGTGTTTTGAAATTGAAGGAAGAGACGAGGGAGAGAGAAAGGAAGAAAAACTGATAAACTCTGAAAAAAAAAAGAACTGTGTCAGTCCCGTTAGCCACGTCAGCATATTTTTCACGGTGTTAGTTTTGGAGGACTAAAACCAAAGTTTCGAAAAGTATGAGGACTAAAGTGTACCTTACTTTGGAAGAGGGACGAAAACCAGAAATGGCCAATAGTTTAGGGACTAAAAACATATTTAACCC